AGTTTTCTTTTAAATTTTATATTATACACCTTCCTTTCTCGTTGAAAACAGCCATTAACTTGAAAATGAAAATGAAACCAGAGATTAAACTCTACCATAAGTAAGGCTAAATTTGTCTCCATGTTCACCATATCAAGGAAATTAAAGAAAAATATATATAAAATAAGATAAATATGATTTTATTATAAAGGCTTCGGTGCTACATAAATGTTTCGACTCCCGATAGAGCCGTCTTCAGGCACGACTGCAAAAATTAACTCGAATAGGCATATTACAAAATAATAGTTCATTCAAAGTAAACCTACCGTCGATGTACTTCAGGGGTAGAAATGGGAAAAATTAAAAGCACACTTGATATTTCGTTCAAGTCTTCTTTGAAATATACAACTTTAAAACTTCTATGTGCAGTTTTTGAAAAAGTAGGCTTTGAAAATAAAAGAAAAACGAGATTATATTTATAAGTGGTATCAAGACAGTTGGTTATAATAAATTAAAACCCCCTGTATCTCTGAAACCGTAAGAGATATCTATATGTGTTTTTCGCCATTAAGTTTCTTATAAAAATCGAGCCTCAGACAGTGATATCATTTTTCCTCTATCTTTTATAGAAAGAGGAGTTTCCCTTTAAAAGTATCCAATTTAGCTCACTCTGTACACCAAAATGTAACCAAATATATATTATTAAGGCCCACTTTTACCAACTCTTGATAAATTTATCCTATAGATAAATTGGCGCTCTTAGGCCCACTACTACCACTCATAGTTATCTATCGGATAGCTTAAAAATTGGTTACTACTACTGTATTTATCTTATAGATACCGCTATCCATGGGATAACTTTGAAATATCTGTAACCCGTGGATTGGGTGTCGGATAAGATGCTATCTAAGGGATAACTGCAGATACCTAACATCAAATAGAATTTATACTGACTGACGTATAAAATTTGAGCGTTTTACTATTTCAATATTACTATTAAGTTTTACTATTAATAATTAACATTAGATAAAATCATCATGGATAATTTCTTCGACATTGGGGATGAAGAACAAATTTTTGAAGAAATGAAATTAAAATGATTTATTTCCTATAAGAAGCGAAAAGATAATAAGGAGTAGAGTTGACCATTAAATATTCATTCAGATGTTGAATTTATGACGAGATTTCGTCTCTCGCAAAAAAGTTTTCATCACCTTTTGAATCAAATAGAAAATGTAATAAAACCTCCATCCATGATATAAGTAATTTGTTGATTGCTATTATTTAGTGTAAAATTCATCAAAATTTTAGTAATAATGCTGCACCTCCTTCAAACCGTTTGTTGCTGACTCTTCCGTTTTATGCAATAGGTAACATGTTGGTATCCATAGCAGATTTTGTAGGAGTGAGTGTAAAATTGGCATCTTCAAGGTCTATAGAACATAAGGTCAGTGACGTAGCTGGTTCGATGAACAACACAACACTATGCGAGGTTTAAATATTTTATATAGACTGTACTACAGTATAGGCTATCTTTTACTCAACTCTACTCTGACTGTATCGAACCAGTGACGTCATTCTGCGGGGTAATAATCGATACTACAGAGGTATAGGGAATTGGGTAACCTTATGTTCTATAGACCTTGAGTTATCTCAAGGATTTCTTAACTACGAGATAAATGAAGGTGGTAGTACGCACGACCCTGTTATCTACGAGATAAATTGTATCTTATAGACAGCTTAACTGATAGATAGCTTTGGTTTGATAGTTTATCAGGAGGATGGTAAAAGTGGACCTAACTAAAGTATATACATCTAAGTTCTAAATCTCTTTTGATTGCAAAAATGAATCTAATCCATCTATATAGAAAATATGGCAACCTTCGAAGACCATGTATCAATTCAGACATCTTAATCTGCTTAATATTCGGATAGCGTCCGGCTTTAGGTCGGTTCGAACCCGGGCCGCCCTCGATTACATATTTCGCAGTTACACTTAATCATAACCCGATAAATATCGCCTATCGTAAAGTTTTATCACACCCCTGGTCGATACCCGATATCCGACGCTAGAAGGCGTCGCGTCGCGTCGCGTCGTCTAGGGTGCGCTTACCAGGTATGGTAGGTAATAACTCGAAGCGTATTTCTTATTTAATGGTCTTCGATTGCCCAGTTAAACTTGTACTAATCCGGCAGTATATCGCGGTAGGAAAACCGCTACATTTCGTGTTAATACCTGTATAAAGGTCTCTATAAAATAAAAACAATTCACAGCGCGAAGTTACATCATACTTCTACACCGGTAGCTTAATTCAAATATATTTCGATCAACAGTGTTCTACGTGCAGTTTCAAAGTTATTACCGGGAAGGTCGTAGACCTGCAATCTGAAAATCCGTAATGTGGAATCGGATCAGATAGTTACACGTGGAGATTCGAATCGGTGTGGGGGTGTGTAGAGGGTGTGCCGCACGTATATTAAGTTACGTTTGATTCAATATATGCGCCCGACGGGTTCCGGAGCGGTGCGGATCCAACGTGGCCCCGATTCCGGATTATATTCCCATTCGGCCGCCCTGTACCGTCACTACGCCCCGCTCAAAGACGATATTTCCTACGGGACCTGCCTGGTTTTACGGCAGTTTCTACGGGAAAATGACCGTAATGAGATATAGTAGTGGACGAGGTAGTATACGTTTGCTCTTGGGACACATTTTTATTTGAATTTTCAACGGAAACATAAAATAAAGGTACTTATTTTATAAAATAAAACAATTACATAAATTATAAGAATTTAAAGATTAATGTATCCGTAGAGTTTAAATAATTTGCATGAATTTATAGGATTTGTAGCACATGGTAATCCCATGAAAATCGAAATAATGAAAGGAAAATACACTCCGCACTCGTATAAATGTGGAAGTTGTTCAGTTTTTGCGGTAGTATTCTCGTAATTAGTCCAGATTATAAATGAAATTTTATACGTGTATTTCACTACATTTTGAGTTTAAATTCATTTATTATAATACACAAAAACTTTGTAAATATAATAAAAGACCGATGATAACATAGTAAAAGAAGCGAAATGATATTCGGTTTGTTTTTTTTATTACTTTCATTCCGTCCTTCCAAAGACGGCACGGCACGCCTTATTTATCTTGCATAAAAGTTATAATTGGTTTATGGGCGTTTGCGAACGGACAAAACTCGTCTCGAAATTTTAATTCAGCACGGCCTAATTTCGTTAAGTTTCGCGGAACGAAAGCCCAGCATGGCGAAACAATTCAATGCTTCTTTTGTTTATTATTAAATCCGAAACGTAAAGAACCGCCGAAACAATGAAACAACGACGAGACGTCTCAAGGGGTAACACTTCGATATTCTCGCCCGGGTTACGAAAAAACCGTTCACTGTGTTTGTGGAAATCTCAAAGCTGGAGATAAAATTGAAACTGCAAACAATTTTGTCGCGAAGTGTTTCCGCCCAAAGGGTCGACCGTTTGCTCGTGGCACGGTAAACAAAAATGTAATGTGTTCCTATATATATAAAGACGATGGTCGTTTTTATCCGCTCTAATAAGAAACTAAGCCCTGGCTCGGCATCCGAGTTCACTGGTGGCTGTTGCCAGGAGTGTGTAAGCAACAAGTTGATCTTGGCTATCTGCTTATTACGAGAAAGCGTCCCTTTTTATTTACTCAATATTCCCGTTAGATCTTTCATATTTCTCATCGCTTAATGCTACATTAATTTCCCATCAAATCAACTTTCTTATATCACAATTTATTGGTGTATTAACTTTCCTATAAATAAATTTGGAATGATTGACAAAATTTTCAAAACTCTCTACAAGAAGTAGCTCCAGTAAGTTAATGCATAAACAATTTTAAAAGTCGATAGCAAAATCATAAACTGCACATTTTAGGGTAACTACCCTGCTGCAGATGCGGAACATTTGGACAAGGATGAGGCAGCGATTTTGAGGAAACGTCTTCTTCAAATGACATGAAAATGAGTGCACTGATGCAATTAAAGCATTTAATGTTGCTGTAGAATGGTCAAATCAAAATTTCATAAAGATAAGTGGAAATCATCACCTAGAAAGCAATTCAAGAAAAAGCAGATATGGCAAAATTGCTCAAAAAAAAATTCAGAAAAAAATTACAGGTTTTTTAAGTCTTAGAATAACTGATTTAGGTTTAAGTAATAAACTTAATTTATTTAATTACACCCTTGTTTCTATGAACACCCTATTAGTAGTACCGACTGTATTTTTGTATTCACACTATAGCGAGTGTACTGTATATACGTTACGGTTACTGTGATTAATTGAAAACTATTAATAAGTACCGTTGATTATTAATACTAACTAACATGCAGGGTTAAAGTAACAAATTTATCACATTGACCGGTTATTATTAATAATTTACACATAGCTGCGGTAAATTTTAAAAGAGTTAATAGTAAACACGCAGTGACTTGTCATTTACGTGCAAAACACGAACACAGTGAGGGGTTAAGAGAGCGATCGACGTTTTCATAGTAATTTTATCGTAGTTTTGTTATATTTTGTATACTCTATGTTTTATAGTGATTATATTGCAGTTTAGTTTGGTTTTGTATGCCCTATCTTAAAATGTGAGATTTGGAGGTTATGAAAACAAGATTTAACCAAGAAATTTATAAAATTAAAATGAAGAAAGGGAAAAATCACCAGTTGTTTTCGCGAGATGAGTATTTTTCGTTTCTGACCAAAGTGAAAGCATCTAAGAATAAGATTTCTTACAAGTCACCCGAAGATTATCAGAGATTATCAAGGTATGATACGGTAGAGATTGGAAATGTACAAAAATAATTTACTACACCTATTTAGAAGAAATTTTTGATATTATTCACGAAACCCATATTTCTATCGGTCACGGAGGGCGAAATCGAATGATAAAAGAACTGAAAAGCAAGTACAAGCATATCACTATAGAAATAGTCGTCGTTTATTTAAATATGTGTGAACTGTGTCAAAAAAAAATGAGTATCCAAAAAGAAGGGTTAATTGTTAAGCCCATTAAAAGCAACGAATTTAATTCGAGATGCCAAGTTGACCTCATCGACATGCAATCTCAAGCAGATGACGAGTTTAAGTTCATTATGGTATATCAAGACCACCTGACAAAATGTTTACAGCTTAGAGCACTAAAAACCAAGCGCGCCGAAGAAGTTGCTTACCACTTGTTAGATGTGTTCACAATATTTGGAGCTCCTTGTATATTACATATTGATAATGGGCGAGAATTCGCAAATAAAGTAATTGAAGAGTTGTGTCATATGTGGAATGAACCAAAAATTGTGCACGGAAAGCCGCGGCACAGTCAATCACAAGGTTCTATTGAAAGAGCTAACCAGGATATTGAGAAGATGTTATCTACATGGTTGGAGACAAACAAAACTACAAAATGAATCAAAATGATCAAAATTTATACAGTTCATGAAGAACAGAGCCCACCACTCCGGAATAAACCAAAGTCCATATGAAGGTATGTTTGGTTGTAAAGCTAAAGTGGGTTTGAAAACATTCTTGCCAGCTTTTGATACATTGTCAAAAATAACACGTGAAGAAGATCTTGAGTCAATTTTAAAACAGCAATATGATAATCATCCTGAACATCAAAGTGAAGATGTTGCTGCTGACTCAGAGCAATGTAGCAATGAAAGTACTGACCGTACATTCAGAGATTTGCAGGTCTCACAATCTGCTGAAATTGAATCTGTAGCTTTAAATAAACATAATTCTCTCATTGTAAGCCAAAGTAAAGACCCACAATTTATTGGTAATACGACAACCAATACAGTTTCACAAAAAATTCTGGAAGCTCGAAATTTCCAACACAGTCTAAACAGTATAAAACAGTCCTTAGAGAAGCAAGCTGACAAAATGTTGAAACGTTCTAATGCAAAATTTCCAGATGCCGAAATAGGCCAAAGCGTTAGAATTAAGGTACCAGAAATTGATCGAGCCAAAGCAGATAGCCGAAATATTATAGCTGTTATTATTTCTGTTGAAAAGGATAGTTTTTATAAGCTAGGTAGAAAATACGGTACTTTAAATCAACTGTATTCAAGGAATGAATTTACTATCTGTAAAGAAAAATTTATTTCAATTAACGAAGTACCAGAAACTGACATTACTCTTAGAGAGTGTGCTCGTAAGCGTTCAAATTTGGGTGGACATTTCCAACATTGCAATTGCACTGCTGAATGTAATTCGAATCGATGCAAATGCAAAAAATTACATATTCTTTGTAATTCAAAATGTCATAAAACTCGATCGTGCAATAATAAATAATTATAAATTATATGAGAATTAACTTATCTTTAAAGACTTGGTTTAACTTTATAAAGTACTTCAGCATTGAGTTTTTTTAATAAGAATTTATTCTTTAATAAGTTTTTTTAATAAAAACATGTTTGATATACAAAATTATAGTGTTTTACTACTTTAACCAACCACGTTGAGAAAATGTTAATAATATCCGGTAAAACTGATTAATATATGGAGATTTGTCATATTGACTAATTGTTGTACTTATTATTAATACTAACCGGTAATTATTAATACTAACTGCATTTATTACTCTAACCGTAACATATACACTATATATTGTGATATTGAGGGACTGATACAAGTTATATTTTAATTTTTCACAACATAAAATGGTAAACAAATACAAAGTAAAAGTTATAAATAAATTTTAAATTTCAACGCAAAATATTTGTCACGTCACATAGAGTTATTTACTTTCAATAACGTTTGTAGAGGAATTATTTTTTTATCCTTGTAAACTTCATAGGATTATTTTTGTATTTAATCCTTTGGGATTAAACACGGCATTTCAACCTTTTTAAATAATGAATAATGTATAACTTGCTACATTTTGTTATTAGATTTAATCTCAATCGATTAAAGCATTATATTTATTACCTACAGTCTCATATTTTTAAATTTATGTTCATGTTGATATCTAACTTCAAAAAATACTAAGATTTGGATGGCTAAAAGCTTGAATCACGGGTTGCGAAGCTGCTAAGAAGTTATTACATTACAATTTATAATATAAAGCTTATTACAAGACATTTACTAGCTCAAACACATTTCAGGACCGCATCTTCAGAGTTAATCCATACCGAAAGAAATTAATACAATACAAGAATTTATCGAAGTGTACTATTTCGGATTATTATACATCATTCTTGTATTTTAAAGTTAGGACGTTCATTGCGGAATATTTCATCCAATAAAAACTTTGTATTCGAGAACTTTTACTGCTTTGCGTTATTAATTTTCATTAAAATTGTTGTTTATTGAGTAGCATCACACAGTTTTGAAATTCAATTTATTGCTGTTTAAGCATTAGATTTGCTACCGAAAAGAGTTTAGTCAACTATATAATTATCTATGGTATGAAAATGCCGGAGGGAAACCCCTTTGGAGCGGAGGAAAATTTAATTATAAAGTGCACGGTGCGTTTGGAGTGGGGAATGAGGCGAGTCGAAACACGGATAATAAAATAAGAAAAAGCACCAGACTGGCCGACGGGAGCTCGCTTAGCCTGGGAATAGATTTCGTATTATTTTTTAATTTGTTCCCGCATCGTCGGGCGGAGAAAATTAAAAACGCGTGTACAGCTTACGGCCGGGGAAATTAAAAATTCATTTTAAATATTTTTCAAGGCGAGCTTTAACTATGCGATAATTACGAAATTTAGTAAGTGAATATGTACACCTTTAAAGTTGTAATTGTTTTAATGTCGTAATAAGTGTTCGATAAGATACTTTGAGCTTTTTAGCGTCTGACTACGATGATGCTCCAAAATGGCATAAAGGAAGATCCGCCCGAACCATCGCGGTGCTCGTAATGCTCGCGATCTGTTTACCTACAACGGTTCGCACTTTACATATACAATAATTCACAGCTTGGTGAGTTGTATACAAAGAAGTGATGCGCAAACTTTGTGGCTTTTCAAATTCTAAATACTATATTAAAATTTAGTAATTCGAACACTGATTGGATCAAATTAATTAATATGATATTTTATATCAACAAATTTAATCGTATATAAATTTCCCGGCGCCTCCACCAAAATTACTTATTAACAATATTAGTTAAACCACTTTTTATAATTAACGAGGCTCGATGTTATTACACCCAAAAGCACTGTTTATAGTAACCATGGCACCCTCACTGTACTAACCTATATACGCTGCCGACCGCTTCGCCACGAACATATTCATAATTACAATAATATTTGAACGGTTGTTTACAGATAATTAGCATGTTCCCTCTTATGTTAAAGCGTTTCGCTACCATTGCCTCTGTCTCTGTCGGTTATTCACCAAGCAATCTTCGTCCTTACTGAAAGTTCTCTAGCAACGTTTCAACATCACGCATGTATAACGGCAAGTTTACTAAAACAAGCAGCAAACGAAACAGCCGTGAGGCAGCCTTTGAAGAACAAGGACACTAGCACACGGGGATTCTATCTCGATCTGTTGAGTTAATGGGCACATTCCAACGACGACACGCATTTTAATTAAAAAAAATTATTTTCATTTACCAACTTAGAACCGTTATACGATTTGATTTGAATAATCGTTTAAACTCCTATAAACGAGATTTGAGTAGTTGAAACTCGCATAAATTAAACTGAACCGAAAGTGCTTTAATAAATTGAGGAATCTCGCTTTAATCAACTAAAACACACCGCGCGGGGACCATGAAAGGTGGGAAAAAGTAGCGAGAACGTGGCGGAGGCAAAAAAGGAGCGCCCGAGGTTGTTCTATTCGAGATAATCAAAAGTTTCGCAGAAGTCGTTCCACAATGGAACGGTCGGGAAATGTTCAAATCTCACCTCGGCTGGGGGCTGGGGCATTGTGCGGCAGTGACGGGCGCGCAACAATCTAACGGGCGTCGAATATGCATTGAATATAAAAGTTCTCGTAGATTTATGTACGTTCGGCAACTACTTACCATGAATATTGATTTAAAAGACCCCACTCGTCGCGGTGCCACCTACTGGCAAAGGCGGTTACTCTATTTCTGTACCTTACATCGTACTGAGTTTGATGATTCTGTATACAATACCTACTTGGCACATTATTTAAGAAAAAATGTTTCTAATATAATATCTATCTCTCAAGACGGTGAAACCCGAATATTCCTAGTTCTAATGTTAGTCCTAGAATTAGTTCTAATAGCTACAATTAATAGTTGCAATATCATTAGAACTAATACTAGACCTAGAACTAGAAAGTTTTGGGTTTAACCGTGTAATAATAGTGCTAGTGTTAGTTTTAGTTCAATGTTTGTAATATAGTGTACTAAAAATTTGTTAAATTAACTCATCACTTAACGATGTTAATAATAGCAAACATAGATGTAATAACGAACGTGGACGCTAGGTGGCGAACGTGCTTTCATACATACGGGGCTAATGCAAAAAGTTATTGTCTAGTGTAGTGAAATTTACGATGGGCAGGCAGCTCGACGAACTTGGGCAAATTAACTATCGATCGATTACCAACCGCTCTCACCTGCCAATCATTCGCCGTATATCAACATCATGCTACTAACTGGATAAGTTTATTTTATAAAAATAAACAACTAAGTGACAAAGAAATTGTCAACGCTGGGCTTAATGTACTAAAACCGGAAGCTTCGTATTCCAAAATTGGACAGACGCCAAAGGGAAAATTGGTAAAAATAAGACATAGAAGATGTGATGTGTAATATTGAACTAGAAAATAGAATTGATCACAATTGATGAAGATTCTGATGAATACGCAGATTTTTCTCCTAGAATTATCTTATGAAAAATGTTTCCCATATAATATGTATATTATACAATCACCAGTAACATATGACATCATAAATATACCTGATACAATTTTATTTTAAAACTTTCATAAATAATATACGAAAAACTTCCAAGAAGTACTAATTTTTATGATTAAAAACAAACCTTTTGGTATTACGAGTTGATGTAAGTAAAAAGATAATTGACATTTTAATCAATTCTTCTCAGCCACACAGGAAATATCGAAATGGGGCAACGCAATTTTTCACGAGATGAATTTTTCGCCAGTACATCCCGCAGAGCGATATTTTAATCTTTCAATATTTCCGCTGCGTTTTTGCGAGCTTTTCTATTTCCCATTTTGCTCTGAACCAAACGAAAATCGGCGGGAACTCAGGTGTTGCGGGGTTCGCTGGCTGGCGAAGGGACGACGCGGGGATGGTAAAGTGCGGACGAAGGCGGGGGGACTGTCAAAAGGCGGGCGAAGAGACTTAATGCATTTCGCTTGTTTCGCAACGGCTTCCGACGGGGCTCGATTGAAAATTAATTTTAAAATTCGATGAATACAAAGCAGCCGGAGGCTGCACTGTACCTGGTAGCTATACA